GTGGGGGCTTAACGGAATCTGGAAACTTCCTTTAACAAGGGGGCCCCCAGATCCCACCCTCCAATGTGAATAAATATGGGGTACATAGTACCCAGACTCATTCACCAAAAAAATCAAAAGTAAGAAAGGAAAACTACAGAGACAGTTTAAAATCCTTTATTGAAAAAAACCCTAAAAAAAAAATAAATGTCCCCAATGTAGATCCAACATCAATCACTATGAATAATGGCCTGCTCTAAAAAATAAAAACAAAACGCAGCTCGTCAAGCATGATGCCCCCCCTAGTTTACCTGTCATTTGGAGTGTGTCCCTGGATGGGACACATCTTGTTCGATGAGTGGCAGGTTTTTTTCTTTTTCGTGTGGGTCTGTGTTATCCTGATGTTGGATCTACTTCAGGGGACATTTATTTTGGGGAGTTTTTAATAAATGACTGTGTTTTTTTTTTACTTTTGAAAATTTTTGGGGTGAATGAGTAGGAGTACTATGCACTCCTGCTCATTCACATGAGGTGAAGCTCGGGACCTGGGGATCCCATTGGTAAAGGGGGCTTCCAGATTCCGATAAGCTCCCTACCTGCAGACCCCCACAACCACTGCCCAGGGTTGTGGGAAAGAGGTCCTTGTCACAAGGTCCTTAGGAGGGAGGCCCCTCCCCCACAGCACCCCCCCCATTGAGGACATGTGACCTGGTATGGTTTGGGGGGATTTCTTGTAACCCCTTCCCCTTTCCTGGCTTGCTGGACTGCATGCTTAGATTATGGTCTGGTATGATTTTTTTTTTTGAAATTTTGGTGTGGGTTTCCCCTTAAAATCCATACCAGACCTAAGGGTCTGGTATGGATTTTGGGGAGGACCCAAAACTGGTTTTTAACCACTTGCCCTGCAGAGGATTTACCCCCTTTCCTGACCAGACCGTTTTTTGCAGTAGGGCATTACGTTATTTTAACTGACAATTGCGCGGTCATGCAACACTGCACCACATATGAAATGTATGTCCTTTTTTCCCACAAATATAGCTTTCTTTCTGTGGTATTTGATCGTCTGTGCGTTTCTTATTTTTTGCGCTATTAAAAAAAAGACCGACAATTTTTTAAAAAAAAACAAACTATATGTTTTACCTTTTTTGCTATTAAACATGTCTAGTAAAAACATTTTACAAAATCAAATTTCCTCGAAAATTTAGGCCAAAATGTATTCTGCTACATTGTCTTATAGCTGGACTGTGGGACTGACATTCTGACACTGTGGGGAACTGACTTGGTGTCCCTGACATCCCCAGTGACACAATACAGTGATCAGTGCTAATAAAAAGCACTTACACTGTACTAATGGCACTAGGCAGGAAGGGGTTAACATGTGGGGCAAACAAAGGGTTAACTGTGTGCTGTGTGCTGTACTGTAAGCTGTGTGTGTGTGCTTCACTGTAAGCACACTGCTTTGCATGGTTCTGCTGACAGGGGAGAAAACTGTATTGTTTATATACAGTTCTCTCCCCCCCGTCGGTAATGCTCGGCAAATACCAGGTAGCGGTGAGTAATCACCAGCCGGGACCTGGGGGTTGAGAGCCGAAGCTGTGAATAGCAGCGCAAGTAGGGCGCTTGCGCAGCTTGCACTCATCCCCTACCCAGAACTGCAAAATCACGTACGTATAAGTGATTTTACGCACCCCTGATGCCCTGTAGCAGTATATCTGCTATAGTGTGGCGGGAAAGTGGTTAATACATTTCGGTGTGGGGTTCCCCTCAAAATCCAGGGCCTGGCATGGTTTGGAGAGACCCCCATGCTGTTTTTTTAAAAAATTTTTGTTAACTGGTACTAGTTTTCTTTCCATCTGCTATCAGCGGGGAATCCCACTGACAGCAAATGAGTCATGGTTGTTAAGGATGCAGCAGCGGCCCACTCCTTAGCAACCAGCGGCATTTTGAATGAAATGAAACAAATGCTGAAGATATGAAATTAATTCCAAAAATGAATAGGCCCATTAACAAATGCTACCGAAAACAAATTATTCAAATAACAAATAAATCTGAAAACAAAACAACATTTTTTGGCATGCACATGTGTACTGTCCAGTTGTGCAAAATTTGCAACATCACCACTGTTTAGTAAAACTTACAGGCCTCCTCCACACTCCCCACTGTGACTGGACAGTGAAAAGAGTAGTAGAGAGACTAATGAGCTCATCTCTCTATCACTTTACTCTCTTTCAATCAACATGCTATTTTTACTACAGCACAGCTGATTGGCTCCTTGTGCTGTTTCTCCATCCTCAGTCTGGGCTCTGCTATATAGGAATGCAATAGGCTGATAGCCAGACAAATTTGGGTGATTACACTGCTTGCATTTAAAAGATACATGTAATGGTTTATTCATGATCATGGAGATGCATTCATTTTTGACTATTCTAACTGCCTGGAGCTCAGCTTTAAACACAGAGTGTTTCCGTGCTCTGCTTCCTTAATGCTTGTCTATTGATTATATAACGTACACCTGTCAAGACAGAAATATGAGGACCGTCATGATTGTTGGCCTCCTTTTGAAAATACCAATTGCCTTGTTGTATTTGGTTTTAATATTCAGGAATCAGTGCACAAGAACAAGCATGCAGCAAATGAAATTCAAAGCAAAGTCAGAATTCCTTTTTGCTATACTCGTTTTTGGTCAGTGACCCAAACTAATGCCAATGCATCAACATGATAGGCAAGCATCAAGCATTTTCAGAAGCAGATATTAGCAATAGTATGCTCCATATTTCTGTTTTGACAGGTTTTCATTAAGGATGACTGAAGAAATGCACTGTAGGTGTAGTTATCTCAGCAGTCATTTAGCTAGTATGGTGAATACTCAATATACAGATAGTAACTACAAACTGAGGCTACAACCACGAATGTATGGAACATGAGTCATGAGAAACATAACGGCCACATACAAAATTTCTTGCTGGTATACATTATCAAATCATGATTTGCATTTCTTATTCATTTATTATTCATGCTACTGTTGAATTATGTATAATCTTCATCAGCAACTGTAAATAGATATTTTTATAACTATACGTTAACCAAGTTACAAAGTTAGAAATATCAGAGCTTGGTTTGATATAGGTGTACTGTACTGTACATATAGGTGTACTGTACATAGACATGGGAACAAGGGATCAGGCTTTAGTAATTATTCTACTAGATAGCTTTGTAGTGGAGGAATGCTCTATTATGCGAGAACGGACAAACACTAAATTAACTACCTTATCTCAGATTATATGGGGCCGACATAACTATCTAGACCAGGCCATTTAAATCTTTGTTTGTATGAGGGCCACTTCAAAGTACCCACTCTTTAGATATGCAATGGGGATGGCTATCCGTCTGGAATGCACAGTTTTCCCAGGCTATGACCTTACCTAACTAAGGTTCCCTCCAAATACTCAATAATGAAAGGGAATTTTGATAAGAGAGCCTCAACCCAGCCGCCTCGGTGCCATGTCCTGGCATATGTAATTTTATCACCAAAAGGGGAGGCTCTGGGAAGGGGCTGAGTTATGCAAGCGATATGGGATGGGGAAATTGTCCAATTCTGGATGAGATGCTTGGGAGATGGATTAGATAGTTCTACCAATCAGGATGGCCCCATGCAAGTCTATGAGAGATAGGTGTATATCATGATAGATTTTGGGGGAAGATAGGAGAGAAGATCCAACAATCCTGGGGACCCCCCATGCTACACCATTGGTACATATCAGGACATCTCTCTGGCACTTTACATGTATACATGCTTGTCGTATGTGTTGTCTGTCTTGCTGTTTGTGGGTTTAGGGGTATGAGCATTATATTCTATATTTCATTGGTTTATTCGTTTACATTTTGTTTCTCTTTTCATTTTTCTTGTTGTAAAATAGATAGATTGTGGTATGTTAGTCTAGACCTCCCTGCTATTCACTAATAAATTTTGGTTGTTGTGTTAAAACTTTCACTCTTGTTCAAAGAACTCTCATTAAGGTTAATAAAATCATATCAGAGAAATATTATATTTCATAATCTATAGATTTGGTCAACACTATTATTCTTTTTTAATGTGGGCCCGGTTTAACGTTTAAGGGAAAAGTCAAGATTAGCATAAAGCTTCAGCTTCCTATAACTGGATTTACTTATCATTTTGACATGTGGTTTCCCTGAAGGTTACATAGTTACTTTGTTAGTCTGATTGAAAAAAGACACAAGTCCATCTGGTTCAACCCACAGGTTGCCTCTGTTTCAACATGTTTTCATCAAAAACATGAATTTTACCACATTGCACTGTGCTACAGATCGCAGCAGGGTAATGCTACGAACAGGTAACATGGAAACACATGTTTTCTATATGCCCATGGGTGACTGGTATTTGTATGTTGAAAAATGCCAGTCAGCACATCAGTCAGTGTCAGCAAGTGAAAATTAAATATTTTACAGCTTAAATATCATATGTTGTCATAGCTGCATTTTGTTTTTTAAGCTTTTTTCCCTTTATTCTTACCTGGTGATCCAGGCAGTAACACACTTCCTGTCTTAGGTGTCTCCACTCTAGCAGCAATGGGACACCTCCAATGATTTGTCCCAACTCCCTAACTGCACCTATTGCTAGACAGTGTGTCCCGTTAAAGGAGGCTGGAAAAACAGAGTTACTGGCTGGATCACCAAGTGCAATTAAAAAAAATTAAAAAAAGGAAACTGAAGCAGCCACCACATCTAAGAATTGATAAGCTGAAATATAATACAATTGTTTTTTTGGGTTTGATACTGCCTTAAAGTGGTAGTACAACCTATAGTTAAAGCGTTACTAAACCCTACAACAGTAAAATCAGTCTGTATATGCAGTAAAGCAGAAAGGAAACTCCGCCTACAAGTTTTAACCAGTGCTCTGCTGGACACTTATAGAAGTCACAAGACTGCTCTAACTGCTGATGAGAAAAGGTATTTATCAATTTATAGTTACTAAAATATTTACATTTCTATGTTCTGTGTACTGTGGAAGACCAGATATAATGAATGCAGGATCTTGGGTTTAGTAACACTTTAAACCTCCCTAGAGGTCTGATTATGTCAGTATTTCTGTGCTCAAAACGGTACATTGTTTTCAATGGAAATATGTTGTTTTTTTATTATAGGCCTGTAATTCTAAAGAATAACTCACTGAAATCTGTCTGAACAAGAGTCTAGTAAACATCCCGGGTATGATAAAATTTGAAACACGAAATCATAAATTATAATACAATAAATAATCATAAAAAATAATAATATAATAACACATTTAATTCAATAATATAATCAAACCAAAAACACTGAAATTTGAAATATAGCTCCAAGTTCGCACATCGCTGAGCTCAGTCGCAAAATCGTTTTCAGTGTCTGATGATGAATTTCCCCACGAATCATTATCACTCAATTCTGCAAGTGGTTCTAATTTACTATCGCTGTTCTCTAGCTGGTCTAAAACCGCTTTTGTCCTAAAGGGACGCTTTTTGGACGCCATGGACGTTTCTCAGTTTCCAGGCAGAAAGAACAGTCAAAAAATGCAGGCAGGGCACAGGACAAAGCACTAGGGACAAAATGTATGTGAAATGGTTCAATACAGTAATGTAATACTATCAGATTTTAGTGTATTGAGTGAATGGCACATTTTTTAATTTTTTTAAATTCCAGCCAGTTCCATCCCTTGTACATCCAGTATGTCCCGATGCTTGCAGGGAACTGAACCTGGAAGACGGATGCCGATTTTGGCCGGAGAGGACATGGCCGGGGACGCTGCAGGGGGGACATTGCGGGAGCGCACGACAAGTTAAGTGCTGGAAGGATCCCAGTGCAATGCTGCAGGGTAATCCTGAGTGTAGCTCGGGGTTACTGCTTCTGGTACTAAAAGAGCTACCCTTGGGAATATCGCAAGGGTGATTAAACTATAGCCTACAATAAGGCTTGCTTTAGGTACTTTAAATATCTCCTGAACACGCACCGTTTAGGAGATATTTACTTGTACAGCCAGTGGTAATGTCACTGACACATGCACTCTGAAGGAACGACATACCCGTGCCATTCCTTCAGAGACCTGTGCCACAAACAGGGACTCCCGCGCACATGACCGGGAGTGATGTCATTGCACCTCGGCCATTCAAAGGACCAGAGCCCATGAACCCAGAAGAAAGACCTGGTGAAGATGGAAGCCCTGTCAGTACTGACAGAGTGCCACTGGAAGGCTTCGTTTTAGGGTAAGTTTCACATAATGTACTAGTATGCAATACATACTAGCACATTATAACATTGCTATTTAGGTGAAATTGTGTATTTTTTTTTTTTTAGTTTTAAGTTTACTACCACTTTAAATCTGAGCAAGCCTGCTGCTGCACACATTTCTAATGTGCTCTAAGAATGCAGCCTGCCAAGAATCCAAGGACAATTGAAACATAAACAAAATCTGTATGTCTTTAATATAGTCCAACAGGTGGTGTGAACAGTATATTAAGTTCTGCCATTACACCCCTACCCAGATGCTCACCTTATCAGTATGAAGTGATGTCAAAGGTAGGAAGAGGAAATGTAGCTTACCTAGAGAATGATACGTTCTATACTCTATGATGCTCAGGACTAACATTATATTAAAAATATTTTTGGACTTGTTAAAATATAGAATATACAGGTATTCCATTCTTAGAAAAAATGGATATAAATAATGCTTCAGTGATGTTTTGAGCCCCAATGTTGAACACCCCTAGTCTAGATGCTATATTCAAAGTGGCTTGTTTAGTTTATAGTCTACATTTCTAACTAAGAAGTCTTCTCTACACTTACCATGCAGGAGTTAAAAGTTTAATTTAAAATTCCCATCAATAACAATCGCATTACAGTTTGTTCAGACAAAGCGAGAGGAAATGAAAACAAACTGTTAGCAGCTGGGCAATTTACAACTCCTAAAACCACAGTGTCATTTCTCATTTGCTCTAGCAGACTTTTGAAAGCTTCTATTCAATGCAACTTCCCTTTTATAATTCATTTTTGAGAATCCTACACAAGGCTGACCCCAGAAGACGGGTACATTTGAAACATTTCTTCTCGGGATGAAAGACTAGGTCTTGCTAAGGGATATAAAGGATGGAGAGCTTGTTTATTTCAACCGTTACCTGCTGCAAGTGCAGCCTTCAGAAAATTATGTAACTTGTGATTTTAGTCTTTTAAACAAGGCAAAGTAAATTTTTCCTGCTTGTTCTTGTTATGTTCCCATGAGCTTTTCTACCATTTAAATATACATTTGACAATAAAGATCTTATCAACAACTGAAAAATAGGATCTCTTTCAGGTACAATTGTCGAGAGATACAGACCCCCACCTCTGGTTATATCAACATTCACCATGGGTCTTGTTTCATCTCAATACAGAAATGGAAATTTATTTCTGGTTGTACTGTTGATTGTTAAAAGATTCTTCGTAAGCTCAAAAGCCATGCAGAAATTTCAACCCTTCAACATCCCTTGTGATTCCCACTTCTCTCAGAAAAAGGAAACACTTTTTTTTGTTAAGATTTGGTCTTGAAGCACCTTTTCTATGTAACTCTGGAAAAACTTGGTTCTTTAATGGTATGAGTGTACAAACTCTGCTTTGGACTTTCCTCAAAACGTCCTCAATATAAACATTGACAAGTTTTCACCAGTGCGTGAATTAGTACTGTCAGGGAAACCAAAAAGGAGATTTCCAGATGTTGTGTGCATACTGCCCTGTGCTTTGTGGTGCACATTCATTTACTGTTTATGTGTGTTGGGGTATCTAGCCTTAGAGAACTGCAATTTGCGAGCAACAACATTTTGTGCACCCATTTTGCACACACAAATAAAATCACTTATACCATTATCAAGTAGGGAAGATTACACTGAATCAGGTTTTACTGAAAAAAATGTTAAAACATGCCAAAATAAGTGCAAAATAATTTCACACTTTAATGAATCAAGACAAAATATTTCTCTGCCTGAACTAATGGCGATAACACAATGCTGTCTTCTGAGTGTACATAACGGTATTGCATAAACATAGTCTGATAATTATGAGTAAAATAGGCAACTAGAGTTATTTGCTTAATATTGTTGTTGCTACTTAAGTGCTAGAAAACAGCATAAGTTATTATTATTTAGTTATCACGGCATCAAATGTTTGAGGTCAGGAGGCTTTTCATCTTTGACTCTTATCGCATTCATCCTCAAGGAAAACTAAATATATCTAAGTAAGGGGATACAATGAATTTTTCATAGGTAAGAATGCAAAATGAAAATTTAAAACTGAATATTCTGATTCCTGTGTAAGCCCAGGTGTGACTGATTCTCTTTAATGCTGAATTGTAGCTGCTAACAATATGGTATACTATATACTTTTAGTATCTTATTCGTATCTTGTTATAACTTTTCAAACAATTGAAACTTCCCATAAAATAAGCCATCTACAGGCATTCATCTTTTTGATTCTGCTTGATCAATCCAAATATCAAAGTTAGCATAAAAGAAAAAAAGTAATATCTATAAGATTCTCTGGAGCCTTCCTAGTTATTCGACATCTTCCACATATTTCGTATTCATTTTCTACGAAAATGGTTTCATGTCATGCTTATTCTCTAAGATGCATTCCTTTGAAAAGCCTCTTGCCAGTCCCCTGGCACTTAACAATATGTTCTGTCAGTAAGGAAGATTATTATTATTAACCCCAGAAGGATCTATTGTAATGTTTCAGCCCATGCTAATGCTTCATGTGTATGTAATATTTTCAATATTAGATCACAAAGCCAAACTCAGTGCACTGACTTCATTTTATGTGTACTGTCATCTAATTACATTTTGCTTTAGAATTTTGTATGCCAAAATTACATAGTGGTAACTCTGGCAGAAATACAATTCATAACCTTATTATTGGTAATATATAAATTCTTCTGTTTATACACTCAGCAGCCACTTTGTTAGGTACACTTAGCTAGTACTGGGGTGGACCCCCTTTTGCTTTCAGAACTGCCTTAATTCTTCATGGCATAATTTCAACAAGGTGTTGGAAAACATTCCTCAGAGATTTTGGCCCATATTGACATGAGTTACTCACTGGATATTTTCTCTTTTTCTGACCATTCTCTGTAAACCCTAGAGATGGTTGTGCATGAAAATCCCAGTAGATCAGCATTTTTTTAAATACTCAGATCACCAACAACCATGCCACGTTCAAAGTCACTTAAATCCCCTTTCTTCCCTATTATGATGCTCGGTTTGAACTTCAGCAAGTTTTCTTCACCACCTCTAGATGCCTAAATGCATTGAGTTGCTGCCATATAATTGGCTTATGCAATTTATGTTACCAGCAATTGAACAGGTGTACCTAATAAAGTGGTTGGTGAGTGTACATTTAGAAAACACCTTTATAAATAGTTTTTGTCAGTTTGCCCTAACTAAAGAAAAGTCAAAACATCTAGGGATTTATTTTTGAGCTGTGGACATTGTCAAAGCTGAACCAGGTAATTATTTTATGTATTTGAAAAAAAAAAAAAATCCAGGCAATCCCTTATGGTTTGTTAATGTGTTACCAAAACACACATTTGTGGGTGGGCCCTATCTGTTTTACATAGAACCAGAAAAAGTGCCTAAACCCTTATTGATATAGACCCCCTGTAATTTGCTGGACCACAATACTCAGCCTAGCAAAGTTTCTCAGGTTTGCTTGTCACAGTGCTATCAGTCTAGCACATGGACCATGCATACTGTAAGGAAGAGATCAAGGATATTTATCAAAATCACAGGCTGGAGCATATCCTGTATCAGGCTGCATTGCTTATCTTCAGTGTGGTCTGCAGAGATGTCCAACTTCTACCTGTGATGTCCAGCAGGGGTTCCTAAATGTTAAAGTGGTTGTACATGTAAAGTTTTTTTTACTTTCATGCATTCTATGCATTAAGCTAAAAAACCTTCAGTTTGCAGCTCTACCCGCAGCCCCCCAACTTCAGCAAGTCATCTTCACCACATCTAGATGCCTTGAGAGTGCATTGAGTTAC